GCACCAGGTCACATCGATCCAGTGTAGCACTGCACTTGCATCATATCAGGGCAGCACCATGTCAGGGCAACACCATGTCAGGACAGCATCGTACAGAGCAGTACTAAAACCGTATCAGTGCATATGTACCGAATGTGCCATTAGCTAACGAAATGATCATCAAATAATAGATTAATAAATTTTTTATTTAAATATAAAAAATTGATTGTATTAATTATTATATCATAAAAACGGCCGTTAAAAGACTGTACTACATAAATATTGTAAAAAATTATATTTTATATTATTATTGTAACAATTAAAGAATTACAGTTTGCAATGTTTCTGCAATATTACAGGCATATTACTGACATTTTGCAGGCATATTGTTAATTTACATTTCCTGTAATATCTCTGCAATGTTACATTGCAATCTGCAATATTGCAACATTGTAGCAATATTGCTTCAATCATCTGTGCTGTATGGGTTACAAATGCAAAAAGAAACATGAAATTCAAGTAAAATTCAACAAATTATAAAATGACAACCTTATTTAGTAATTCAAATTTTCCGCTGGAAAATATAGACACAGCCCACAACTTTTAATGATTTCTGGTTTTCTATTCGTTACTGCTTCTAAAGTACGCTAGTATATGGCATATCCAATTATACATAGAAATCAGTGAATATCCTACACACTCTTCCTTTCCTACATAAGGGATATGTGAAAAGTCGAATGATCTTAAGCGAAAAAGAGATGAGAAGGGTAGATCTCGCTTCGCGTAGAAAGTCATACGCCTTTAAGCGGCGGGGGATGTGGAGTGGGCACGTTTCGCGAGGCATTCGACTTTCTATACAAAACGGGATCCACCCATAGACCTTATAGTAATGGAATCGAAATAACTTATCCAAGTGAGTGGAAGGTGTGAGCAACATCTGAAAGACAGAAGATGTATGTATTTCTATCCTTTTCAGTAATTTTTCTTCTTTCTGCACATGTGTCAAAAGAGGATAGAAAAAGATAGAAAGATATATTTCTATCCTTTAGATATTGCTCGACGTCCGTATTCCCCTTCCATTACTATAAGTTCTATGGATCCACCCCATCTCCCCCTTACCTAGGGGCATTCGACTTTCCACGCGAAGCCAAGATCCATTTCATCTCCCCCCAGCCTAAAGACATAATGACTTTTCATACGGATACACTTCGCTTCACATGGAAAGTCGTACGTCTTTAGTCAGAGAGAGTATGTAGAATGGATCTCACTTTGCGTGAAAAGTTTTTACTTTAAAAACAAATTCTCTGCTTTAAAAACAAATATTAGGTGTACAAATAAGTTTCCGCTGTTTTTAATCAAAAATTAAAGCATTTATTGTGAAAGCACGATACATAATGTTTTATTGAAAGTATTGTCCATCGCTAGCCACTACTTTTTCCCATTTTTCTGGTAGCATACGGATACCGCGTTGGAAGAACGCTTCATCTTTTGAGGTTATCCAATTATCGATCCAATTTTTGATATCTTCATATGATGTGAAGTGCTGCTCAGGCTATGCGCCATCGATCGAAATAGATGGTAATCGGAAAGAGCAATGACTGGTGAATACGGCGGGTAGGGTAGAACTTCCCAATTGAGTGTTTCCATGTAGGTTTTGACCGGTGCCGCAACATGTGGTCGAGTATTATCATGCAGGAGAATAATTTTGTCATGCCTGAAGTAGTGGGCGCATTTTTCCTTGAGTGCTCGGCTCAATCTCATCAATTGTGTTCGGTAGAGAGCCCCAGTAATGGTTTCGTTCGATTTGAGCAACTCATAATACACGACACCAAGCTGATCCCACCAAATACACAACATGAGTTTTTTTCCATGAATATTCGGCTTGGCTGTCGATGTTGAAGCATGGACAGGTGATCCCCATGATTTCCTCTTCTTTGGGTTATCGTAATGGATCCATTTTTCATCACCAGTGACTATACGATGTAAAAAACCCTTTCGTTTATGCCTGACAAGCAGCATTTCACATATGGAAAATCGGCGTTCAACGTTTCTCGGCTTCAGTTCATATGGAACCCAATTTCCTTGCTTTTGAATCATTCCCAATGATTTCAAATGATGTGAAATTACTTGTTGAATCGTAATGTAAGTGCAAGTTCTTTTTGCGTTTAGCAGGAATCTTCATAATGCTTCCAATTCTGCGTCTTCGTACACTTTTGACTTTCCGCTACGTTCTTTGTCTTCGACGTCAAATTCACCGTTTTTAAATTTTTGAAACCATTCACGACAACTTCTCTCACTTAAGGCAGCCTCACCATATGCTTCTACAAGCAATCGATGAGCTTCAGATGCAGATTTCTTCAAATTAAAGAAGTAAATCAAAAGTTCCCGCAAATGACGCTTATTCGGCTCAAAACTCGGCATTTTCACACAAAAAAAATATATGATGCTGACATGATACAAAATCGCTAGTATTTCAAGATTATGTTGTTGACAGATGTCCAACCTTACGATATAATGTTTTACATCAGACAATTTTAACCATAGCTTGCTAGCGCCGTCTTTGTCAAACGGCGAAAACTTATTTGTACACCTAATATTATATAAAAAAAGGTTTTCAAAAGAAAATTTTTGTTTTTAAAGTAGAAAATTTATTTGAAAGCAGAGAATTTTTGTTTTATACATAGCAGAAAAAAGACATTGCTTTTAAACCTTTTTGCTAATAACTTTTTAACGAATAACGAGTGATGGTTAAAATCTGTTGGAGATCACTCAGGGTGACCCTGACAACATATGTTAAAGTCATTGAAATCGGTGAGGTCGTCGGTGTTATACAGTTTTAAAAAGTACGACATATTTGAAAAGAAAATATCTTACAAATGATGACAAATATATAAAAAAAGTTATATTTTCTCATTACATTTGATGAATATTTATTAGTATTTATGAGAAAACGATCATTCTATGAATAAATATGACATATTATGTAAAAAATTAGGAGAAATTTTTAAAAATTATAAGAAATTATGAGAAATTTGATGAGAAATTATTAGAAAAATTTTTGCCAGGATTTGTAACAAATATTACTCCATTATATTGAATTTATATATATCATTTCATTTTTTGAAATTTTAATGTTAAATTCGAAATCAGCGAAAAACTCTTTTATAACAAATTTTGTACTTATTATCAGAATAAATGTATGAAATTTTATGGCAAGCAACTATAGTCGCTCGTTGTATATGAATGGCATTTTTGTAAAGCGACTACAATCGCCCATCGCAGCCAAAGAGTAAACAAGAGGTAAATCTTAATTATTTGGAAAATCCGACGGTAGGCGTCGTTTGTAACAATCCAAGATCTAATGCACCTTATTTGTTCAACGTAACTTTTGCTGCCAATTAGTGTAACTAAAATGAAAAAAGTATTAAAATAATCATTACAAATTAAAAATCACTCCAATTAACGCATGTCAATTTGGTTCAATCATCTTTTAAAGCGGAATGATTTTTGAAAATATCTCAGTGATGTTTCATTTGAATACTTTGCTGAATTCTTAAAGTTTGTAAGGATAACAACCAACAAAAATACGAAGGAGAGATGTCTTTCGACTGTGTGATATGCAACGCACGCATGCATCTATCACACTCGGAATAGCAAACACACGCATGCATAAGAACCCTGAGAAATGCATTGAAAGTAGAATGCATCGACGTACTGCTCACGATCTATCTTACTTAACTCATTTTGCCATGCACGTATACATGTTTATATGACAAGAAATGGAAACTCTAGCGTATTCTAGCTAGCGATGGGTGTTTCTTTTTTTTAAATTTTTTCAATAAATATTCTTTGAATTGCTAATTTTTAAATCAAAGATTTCTCAAAGACTCAAAAATCTTTCCTCGTACATCTTTCTTTTAAATAAATAAAGTTATCACACTTTTGTAAAGTTTCACGGATATCACAATGGATCAAATTGGCCAATTGATGCTACCAGTCTAAAACTCCATTAAATACGAACAAAAAAATGTAGAATATACTTTAAATATTACAGAATATAACCTTTAGAAATTAATGCCTAAATAATCTAGCTTAAGGATCTTAAATACTTGTATAATTCTATGTGAATTTATATACTACGTAATACTTACTACGTATACTTACGTATACTTTAAAATGCAAAATAATTTTTTTATCTTGAAACGCAAACTCTACTATCGCAATAAAAAAAAATATTACGAATTAAATTGACTCAATTTGATACTTTTTCATCTTAGAACGATCTTAATAATACTGAATGACATATTAAACTTTGTAAATAATTAATTTTTATTGCGAAAAATATTATCTCGGCTGAAAGTAGTTTAATGCATTGATTTTCTATAGATTGTATTTCTCACATATACGGTCTCATAAGATATAAATATGTGCCATTTAATGGAAAAGACTATTATTATTTTAATATAAAAAGTGACCCAGAACTAATGCCTGATTTACATCTTGTGCTTTTATCTATGTCACAGTTGTACATCCACTAACATTCATGAATCATCGAAGTAGCAGTTTCTGTACGATTGCAGAAGTTCAGTACAGTTGGATAAGATATAAGATTGGATGGTTGACTGCTTAGAAAAATGAGAAAATTAATTCCCAAATGAGGGGAAAAACATTTTTTTCAATTAATTTTATGTGTATTTCGGAATATGATGTTAATCAATAATATTTATTTTAATAATAAAACTGAATTAATTAATATGAAAAATGTTTACGGAGGAATCAGTAAAATCTACATTGAGTATACATTAAGTCAATGTTGAATTGCAACGTTTCACAGACGTTTCAACATTAGAAGTTTCTACAACGTTTCTTTAACATTAAATCTACATTTCGCGATATTGCTGTAATGTTCACAAAGTTGTAATTCAATATTTTTGAGCTATTGATTCAACGTTAGCATGCTGTATTGATTCTCTTTTCCCGTGTAAATAACGTAAATGCTTACGCTGATCCATCTCTGGATCATGATCACCATAAGCACGCAAATTCAAAAATTCATGACGTCACTTCACTCACATAAAGCGTTCACGGAGAGAATCGGAGTGAGAACGCTGATAACGCTGCACTGTGAGCGTGAATCGGACCACAGCTCTAGAGGCGTTTGGCTTTCCATGCACAGCAGAAACTTATTCAAACGCCCAATATCTTGATCCACGGAGTAGAATAATATTTTTTTTCCACATTCGTTTATTTAGTGTAAAAACGCGTCGAATGAGCCTAATTTTATTCAACATTAGAGGTAAAGAGTCTAAATTCAACAATTATCAAAATTGTATGTATCTATATAAATTAATACTAGAGGTCTGTTTTTTTTTTAGCTAAAGTTCTTGCACGATTCATCTTTCTTTCTTTTCTCTCCACGTTGGAGAGAAAGAAGTTCAGTTAAAAAGAACAGGCCTAAAGACTAATATTTATATTATGTGATAAATTTTTGTAAGAAACATATTTGTTTCTTGTAGGAATTTTATTTAATAAGGATAAAGGTCAGCATATACTGAAAAACCCTTTAATTATTCAAAGTATGGTTGAAAAAGCTGCACTTAGGCCGACTGATGTTGTATTGGAGATAGGTCCTGGTACAGGCAATATGACTGTAAAAATGCTTGAAAAAGCAAAAAAAGTAGTAGCGTGCGAAATTGATCCAAGAATGATAGCAGAATTACAAAAGCGTGTTCAAGGAACTATACATCAATCAAAGTTACAAATAGTGTATGGAGATGTATTAAAATCAGATCTACCATTTTTTGATTTGTGCGTTGCTAACATCCCTTATCAGATATCATCACCATTAGTATTTAAGTTACTTTCACACAGACCACTTTTCAGGTAATTACATATTTATAAAAAATATTTTGATATAGATCTTTTAGCCCAGGAAAACCGGAGTTAAAAAGAAAAAAATTGCTGCAAGCTGAATTTTTGCATAGAGGTCTGTAATAGTGTTGTTTTTAATATATAAAAATTTATCTTCTATGAGGGCATGCCTGGCCATGAAGCCATCTTAAAAAAATGTTGCATAAAATCAACAGCCAGGTTTTCTGCCAGGTTTTTTTTTGCAAATATCTCAACTATTGTATGGAAATTAATGTTCAGTTCGAAATTAAAGCTGATAAAATTTCCCACAATTTTATTTTTTAATGGATCTCGTGCGACCAACAATTCCCGAGATAGATTTTTTTTAAAGGATATCTTATTTTCGTGAATGTTACGTACAGTAATCGAAAAAATCGCTTTTTATGGCCCTCGATTTTGGAACTGAACTGTGTCCCAAATTTTATATTGAGACATTAATTACAGAGAAGTTTGAAGTTGAGGTGACAGTTATTATCAGAGCTGAGAGGGGTAGAATCAAAGTCCATTCTCGAATTATCATGGATCTGCGAGATCCGTTATTTTAAGAAGGTTGATCCAGCCGGATGTATATCAATTGCCCATATCGCTAACTGATTAATTTGAAATAATATAATTTCATTAAAACAGTTGAAAATTACTACGAACTGGCCGATATGAGTGATGTGTGCAATTGAACTGTGTACAAGTGCAACCACTTCCAATGAAGACAAGATTAACTGAATATCATACTTATTCTGATGATTTTGTAAATTAATTTGTTTTGAATGTAAAAAAAAAACGAATTTTCGTAATACGTGTCTCTCCAGCTATGATAACAATTGCCATCTCAACCTGAAACTTCTTTGCAATTCATATCTCATTGTATCATTTAGCACACAGTTCAGTCCAAAAAAATTGAGAGCGAAAAAAACCACCTTTTTTCAATCACTCTTTGTTGTATTTTCTCAAATATCTCAAATTTTTTTCTGCATCTACGTACAAAACACATATGACAAAATCGAAAAAGTATTTAATTATTTACTGATTTTTTATTGAATATCATACGACTAGATTGCTAGTTCCAGAGATATTTTTTTTAGACATTTTGATTTGCGATTATGAAGTTGAGAACATTTCCTCGTACATGTATCGGAAATATCTTATATACAGTTACTCCTACAAAAAAAATAGTTCTTATCAAAATGAAAGATTAAATTTTCTACATTTTGATTTTTTAATGATTTGTATACAGTTAATAATAATTACTAAGATACAGCTGAAAAATGTTTATTATATGTGTTTCCGAGTACATGTTTGTAAATAACTTATTTCTGACTTATCTGAGGCGAAAAATGTATAGAAATTATGCGGAAACTTATAAAATTATCTTTAAAATGAGATTTTTTTTAAACCTCGTCCGATGAATAATTTCCAAGATACAGTCTTTGGAAGATGTAATGCGCTGATTTTATGAAAAAAAATCGAAATTTTTGTATAAACAAACATATGTAATAACGATAGAAAAATCAATATCCACATTATTCTGTTAGTTTATACAGGGTGTGTCATCAAAATCCGGACAAATTTCAATTTAAATGTTTTCTGCTATATTGTGCCTCCGCCAGAAGTTGTTAGTGTCCGAAAAAACCTGATGCTTCTAGTAAATAGTCATATTCTCAAAATGGCCGCGATATTGAAATCAAGTGCGAAGTATTGGGTCATCTAAAAAGCATCCGCGGTTTTTAAATGACCCAATATAATCGAAGAACCAGCGATCATCAAAGGCCTTCGCGCTGAGCGCTCAGCAACGGAAATAATTCGATTCTTTGGATATCCGAGATCAATCGTTTATGACGTTGTGGCAAAATATTGGGTCATCTAAAAAGTATCTGCGGTACTTTGTCATTAGATATATGACCATCAACACACATCTAGTGACAAAAACCGCGGATACTTTTTAGATAACCCAATATATTTAAAATAATTCAACAAAGATTCCAGTATGCCAGCAAGGAAGAGTCACTCGAAAGAACGCACCGCGAGGACCCTCGCAGTCGTTGAAAGGACTCAAGCACTGATTTCGGATGACCCAGGGCAATTGTTACGAAATTAGCATCGATTGTTGGTGTAAGCGAGTCAACAATCCGTCAAATTGCCGAGGAGGACCTTCGATACAAATCGTACACATTAAAGATACGACAGATGCTGCCAGGACAAGCCGAATTGCTCGTCTCGACTCCCATTCTGGTTTCCCAACAGCCCAGATTTAAATCTCTTGGATTATTAAGTATGGAGCGTAGTTGAAAGGGTCACAAACAAG